AAAAAAAAAAAAAAAAAAAAAAAAAAAAAAAAAAAAAAAAAAAAAAAATCAATTTCTTACTATTAACGAACAATTCGAAATTTTTGTGCGTGCAATACACTTGGATTATCCTCGCATGCTCCAAAAGAGAGAACAGATAAGGTAAAATCGTGATTGGAATGATTTTATTCCCGGATGACGGGCATTTAAGCTATTTTATAATAATCTGATATTTTCAATTAGCATAAAAATTTTAACAGCTCTCTCATCTACAGAAGCCAAGTTTCGCACGCGCAGCATAATATAAACATCGTATTCCATTAACTCACACGAGAGCAATAGCCGTCAGTGGCATGTACGAGCGAGAAGTTACTCGTGTGTAGCAGCTGTAAATAATGATACACGGCTTCCACCTCACGGAGCACTGGCCGGCTAATGTGATGAAAACCGGCCAAACACGAGCTTATACTTATCTGTTTCTGCATCGGGATGATTTTGATGCACCCGAGCAGTCTATATAAAATACCCACGCATAACGCACCCGCATAAGTACACCTAAGTATGTATATATTTATACGCACATCAGCTCTTGGCTCTCACGACTGTACGCCCCGAAATAACGAGTATACACGATCCCATACGCATTAAAACGTGGAGATGATCGCGTGACGATTGCGCTGTTGTATCGCTGCAACATTTTCTATTGCGATTTTTTGCGTCCAATCGACGAGGCATCCAACCAGCCTTTCGTTGCCACTCGGAGTTTCTTTTTCTCCAATTTAAATACGCACTGCGTCATTGTTGCTTTAACAGCTACTTAATTCAATTGCCAACAGAAACAACGCTCTCTTCGGGCCAAAATTTATAGCCAGACATTGCCCATAGGAGCACGAATCTAGAGAGAAATGTTTCAGCTGCAGCCTACGTAGTTTGCAGGTGCCATTTTAATGAGTTTTTGGTTTTTTTCGTCCCCACTACCGCTCCACGTGATTTCATGAAAACTAGATTATTTTACAGAAAAATCAGCCCAGGTGGTATAAAGTAGGAAAATGAATGTATACCATTGACCAGGAGGTGGTCGAAAAGTACAGGGGAAATGGACAGTGGCAATAAGAGTACAATAACGATGGTAATTAAAATGATGAAAATGTGATTCGTAGCAAAGAGAAATATTAAATAAATGTGGTGCAGCGCGTGCGTGTGATGAGGATGAGAGCGTGGTCAGTGTACGGGATGATGATGATGGTGATAATAAGGTGGCATTGCCCAGATTGTATACATACTTCGCGTGCGTTGCGCTGCTCTTTTCGCTGAAAAATTTCACTTTCGAGACAAGCGCGCGATCCATCCTCAACTGCGCGGTCCATACGCTCGAAAGCGAAAATTACCCCCCTGCACGTGCGAGCACAAGAGAGTGAATGAAATGAAAAAAAAAAAAAAAAAAAAAAAAGAGCTTTTCCGAGGCGCTGGACCGACACGTTATAAAGAGCCAAGACCCCGCCGAGATTTTGCTCAGTTGCGATATCAAAGTGCTTGGTGCATGTGTGTTCTCTCTCTCGCTGTGCCCATCTGATCAGCGATCGCTTTTCGCCATGGGTCATGTGGTACGTTTTGGTTTTTACTTGTCGCTTCTCTGTCATGTGCTTTTTTACACGAGTACCAGTGGATATTTTCTTTGTGCCGAATTTCTCGAGAAATCGAAACATTTTCTCGTAAACGCTTGAGGTAGTTTATTTTTTTTCTCCAAAATTTGATGTTTCGAATGAAAAATTAATCCATGTGTTTTTGAGGTATGTAACTGCCACGCGTTGATAATAAATATGCTTTCTACTTATCAAAAAAAACAAAATTAATAACAAACCGTTTCATGTAAAACAAGTCCAGTTTTTTCTCGAAGTAAACATTTACGCATGTACGAGCTTTGAAAAGATTTGTAATTGTTGTATGTTGTACACATTAAAATTTTTGAAATGGCGAGCGTTCAATTTTAGAAAAAAAATCCCTTTTAGAACCACAATCGGTATTTTAAATACTCGATTTTATCATATAAAAAATTGTCATATGCAGTGAATTTAAAATGTTCGCAAAATATTATATCTAATAGCCACCTAATTTTGTTGTCAGTGTCACGTAGGAATTTTGATAACAGCATTCGTGATAATCGTGACAGTCAGGGAAGCTCATTCGAAAATAAAAAAAGTGGAATTCATCATGGACAGTGCCACGAATCGAAGGGTGGGGTACGTTGTGACCCGAGTGCACGCGATCGATCGCAAAGACGATTTCAACGAGACGTCGTCAGCCACCAAGGGAAATTCCACGAAAATCGACAACAGAAATTCATTGGGCGAGGAAGAACACGGTACTAGTAGAAATGAAGCTGCAGTGATGATGTAAAACAATTGTATCGCTTTTGGTTAAAAAAAAAAAAAAAAAAAAAACATATTTTACGTAGAACACGAGGGTGAAATGGTCCTGGTGGAGCAAATACCGGATACGCAGGCAATGGAAACGTCGTACGTCCCCGATGCCCAAGCAGTTGAAACCTCGTATCCTGGAGAATTTGGTAGCCCTTCGTTTGACAAGGAGGAGGTGCAGTACCACCACTCGCACCACGAGGTGGGGGGCGAAAAGGTAATAACGATCGTGAAGACCGTCCCGGAGATTGTCCCCGTCGAGAAAACCGTGCATGTACCAGTTATAAAGAAAGTGCCCTACGTAGTTGAGGTAAGTTTTCGTCATTAGTTGACTTTCGACCAAAGTGAAAACTTTTCTTTTTCTTGTTGTTTTCTTAAATTTTGACTTTACTTTGAGCTTTTGTGTTAAAACTTGGCTTACTTTAAATTCATTTTTTTTTATCATTCCCCAATCTAATGGACTAAAATCTTAAACTATTGTCAATAAATTAATTTAGCTTATAGGAAAAAAAAATTTTAATTTTTATAAAATTAAAATGTTGAATACATAATTGAGATGTAAAACTTATTAGGTTCCAGACCCTGAGCCCTACCCCATCGAAAAGCAAAAGTTTTATCCGGTGAGGGTTATTGTCAAAGTACCCGTCAAAATACCCAAGCCTTACGCCGTATTCAAGGAATCGTTTTACGTACGTATCCTGTACTTCACGTAGTTCTATTTAACTCGTATCCAAAACTTATGAGTTAAAATTAACGGAAATTTCGAAATATATATTACACATTACACATATTTTTGATGCATAAAGTTGTCATTAACGATCAAACTATGATCGTTTATAACTACTTTTCGTATTTTTTTTTTTTTTGCGATAAATATAAAAAATAACCAGAACGGCATGTACCGTGATTTCGAGATTTCAGTTCTTTTTAACTTGTCATTTTTTTCACAGATTTTTATATGTTTTTATGTACAAATAATTATATATATATACATGTATGTGTTCTAGCCAGTGCATGTACCCGTCGAGCGAAAGGTAAGATAACATGTACCCAATTAATTGTATTAGGATGATTTATATCGTATATAGTCCATATGTATCTCATTATATCGTACGGCATTAAAGGTACCTCACAGAGTCTACGAGCCTCTCCCTATTCCAGTAGAACGTAAGGTAAGATTTCTCAAGTTTTTGCAATTTTTCATTCAAATTGTAGTACTTTGTAAATACATTAACTTTCGCTGCAAATGCTCAACAGAAAAGTTATGTGTCAAATACCTAAAAATATTGACTTTTACAACTTATATCTTATGTTGTTTGTATATGATAAAGTCGAGCCTAAAGGATTCGTGTAAAGACAATCGGTAAAAATTGTAGAGTAGAGCCAGGAAGCATTAACGCTATTCTATTTCCTTCCTTAGGTTTACTACGAGGTAAAAGTACCAGTACCAGAGCCGTTTCCCGTCGATCGCAATATTCCTATCCGTGAGTACAGTGTATTTGCGTCAAATATAGATATTACCAAAGAAAAATCTTTTTTTTTTATTTTATACATACATGAAGTTAACGCGCATAGTTGTTGTAACGGTTACTTGTACTATTTACAAAAATCTATTAATTTTGATTTGCAAATTGTGTTGTTAAATCGTCAAAGATTTAAATATCGTCAAGCTCGTTTGAACAGTCGATGTTTTGATATTTATCCTTTTCACTTTTGTCAATGTGCACTTGGAACACAGCCATCCGAATACCCATATATGTGCCCCAGCCTCTGCCCATCGAGAGACCCGTGCCATTCCCCGTTAAAATTGAAGAGGTAACGTATACCACACGGCACGCAACAGCTTATACATTCTAATGAAAAGAAATAAACATAAACTATAAAATCTCAATATGGTACACAGGAGCGTCCGGTGCCTGTGCCCTACGACGAGTCTTTTCCGGTCGAGATCACAAAGCCCGTGTCCTACGCCGATGACAAGGCCGAAGTCGAAGATGCCGAACTCCCTTACGCGGAGAAGAAGGGAAGCACGTACGAAAAGAAAGAGACCAATGGCGTTGCGCAGCCAAAACGAGAAAACACGACGGCGAAGTCACCCGAGCCTCCCAAGGTCCACGAGGGCAAGACCGAGTGATCGCGCGAAAATTCATTATTTATACTTGCGTCTCGTTGCGCTCGAACGCGATTAGCTAATCATCAAATTGTCACTTGGTTTTAACGATCTCCATTTTCATATCCTAAGTTAATTTATCATCGTGCGATTGAGTTGTAAGATGAAAAAAAAGTCACGTATACGTTAAAAAAAAAAAAAAAAAAAAAAAAAAAAAAAAAAAAAAAAGAAAAGAAAAAAAGCAATGTGATTATCAAACGTTAATGATCTACTGTACTTGAATCATAAACTACAGCTATATAACTTATAAATATATACATGTGGATAGCGAATGTACAATTTGATAATAAATTTAGAAAGCCGACCGATCCACGTGTATAATAGTCTGACGATGTTAATAATAAGAAGAATAAAGCTAGATATTAAACATGAAAAGAAAATTTTGTTTATCTCTCTCTCTCTCTCTACAGTAATAGTGATGATAGTAAAATACACACCACGTCGATAATCCGATTAAAAGCCGCGCACGCGTGCACTTGGGTCGAACGGAGATGTTGGGGAGTGTAAAAAATGTATACGAAAGTTGGAGGCGATAATTACCGCCCGAAGTGATGCCCGTGCAGACTAAGTAAGTGCACGATGCTGCGTTTGTCACGCTGGAGTGATCACACGGTGCACGTAAAATCTCACCAAGTGTTTTTAGTGCCTCGAACTCGCTCTGTTGGCTCACGTAATTCGACCGATCTTTCGCTCGCACTCTAACCGATCCTCGAACCGATTATTAAACCCATGGAAGCATCGATCCACCGCGGCGGACTGCCAAACGGCTAGAAAAACAATTCCGCGGAATCGTAAAACCACCTCGACAAAAAGAAAGACCCTCATAAATAATCGGATATTTTGGGCGTAATTGTCCAAGTAGTCGGAGGAAAAGAAAAAGCGGACACGCCGGAGGTGTACAACAAGATTCCAAGTTTTTCGCGGAGAGCGGGACAGTGCTCGCGGGTGGTATAAATACAACGCTTGCGACGATGCCGGTCTCTGTGCGCACTTTTACTCCGGGCTTTGACAAACGCGGTGACCTACTCCATACATATACAAATGCACCAGTGCATCGTCATGGGACGTTTGGTGCGTCCACTGTCCACCGGCAGTATAGATGAATCTCGATTACTTATCGGTACAGGTGCGTACATACAGAAAATAATCCCCCTCACGTGCGTACTTTCACGCTGCAGCTGCCCCTGGGCCTCCTCGCCGTGGCAGTCTGCAGCTCCGTCCTGCCACCGGCGGTGCAAGCCAAGTCGACGTCGTCGTCGGGAGGGAGCTTGGCCAAGCACCGACAGGAGCTGGAGTACGCGGCCGAGTTGGCGGTGGAGCGAGCGGCCGAACGGGCAGCCGAGAGGGCCGTCGAAAAATCCCTCAACTCCGGGAACTCGTCGACAGTCACCGTCACCGTCAAGGAGTCCTACTCCCACGCCCAGAAAACGGCCGAGGAGGCCGCAGCCCCGGGCTCCGAGTCCACCCGGCCCTACGTCTACGACCGGCAGCACCGATACGAGGAGGAGCCCACCTACAGCGTCACCGAGGCCTCCTCCTCCGACTACGCCGAGGAGATGAACGAGTCCCTCGACTCGAGCACCGAGGAACAGACCACCGCCACTGGGAGTTTCGAGAGTACGAAACAGTCCACAGAGGAGGAGGAGGGTAGCAGTAGTCCACCCGCGGACTTTGACGACTTTTCCGGGGAGATGCTGGACGTCAGCGGGGAGTTTGGGCTGAGAAACACCGAGACCTTCTCGCGCTCGTACCACCGGCCCAAGGACGACGCGGGCTACGGGGCCGCCAGTGTGGAGGACGAGGAAATACTGAGGATGTACAGGGGCGAGGGTGGCTGGACGAGCTCGAGGCAGCGCGGCTGGACGAGGCACCGGCCTCTCTGGGACGACAGCCAGGGCCAGGGGAGCAGCTTCTTGGACGGGTTTTTCGACGACAACGACGGGGATGATAAGGAGGAGCGGTTCGGCACGAATAGGAGGATCATAAACCGGATGCTGCTGACGCGCCGGTCTATCGGTAACAACAGCAGCTACGGGACAGCCCTACCCGTGAAGCTGTACCTGACCATTCCCGCACCCTACGGCAAGGGACGACCCGACGATTACAAGGTATGGGCGAGTTTTCCTTACTTTTCTCCGCGTGCCACTCTGTGATTTTGCTCTGTTTTTTGTTCAAGATCAAGCAAGATCGGCTGGGATCGACGAGCTCGTTTGGAAGAAACAGAGCAGCGAGTACCGGCATTTAAGACGATCGGTTACTTATTTAAGAGACGTGTTTTGTGAGAAAACGAGAGTAATAACGAAAATTTGTAACGTAAATACATCAACCCTTGCTACTTTATTACCGATCGACACGTGCGGATGTAGTGGTTTGCACTCACCTGATGTAGGGAATGTTGGCGGGTACGTGGTACTTGGAGCCGGGATCAAAGTCGTCCTCGGATCTGAGCACGGGGGGCTTGGTCCCGGCGTACGCCTCCTTCAGCCGATGCCAGTGGCAGTTGAATTCGTTTCTGCCGATTTTCCCGCGGAACACGTCGTAACGCCACTTGTCCAGGGCTATGCTGTAGGGCAGCAGGACCAATTTTTCCATAGCCAGGGAAAACAAGTAGTTTATGTCGGCCGCGCGCTCGTCCACGAATTTGTTTGCCAAGCCGAGCATCTGCAGGTGCTTGGGCGTCGCCACGCTGAGGGCCACCGCTTCCCCCACAGCTTCGTGGAAACCTGTTCAATTTCATCGATGGTCAACCAAAGATGCTCGTTTTTTGATCATTTTCTTTACCACGTCCGCTCGATTTACGAGGCGAACGACCGACGAGCGAGAAAGCGATCGGCAGTGATAACGTAAACGCCGCGCGCGCTTTCGTTTTCCATTTTAATAGCGGAACGCGAGTGCCGTCTCCCCGGCGTGAAATTGAGACGTTAAATGGAATTAACGATCCAGTGTTGTACAAACATAATGACACGGTACCTGGGTTGGCGCCGTCCCGGAATTCCCGCGGCAGATGGTTGTAGCGCAAAAAGTAGTGGACGTGGGCCATTTCGTGGTGGACCGTTATCAGGTCCTTCATCGTTACTTTTGTGCACATTTTTATCCTAAAAACGTAGAAGAAAAGAAAAAAAAAGACAGTCTCACCCTCTTCATTCGTTTAGTTTTTTTCCCCCCAACTTACCTGTAGTCTATGCGGTTGCAAAAGTCCCAGGCGGAGGCTTGGCAGATGAAGGGCCGATTCCCGGGATCGATCAACTCACTGCCGGCCCAAAATTCCGGGGGTAGGGCGCTCAAGTTCATCGAGAGGAAAAAGTCCTCGCCCACGCGGAACATGTCGATCGGCGTGTACCCCTGAACAACAAACGCGTGAGATTTCCCACACTATACGGAAAGCATATAAAAGGTACAGTGGGACTCTTACTCGAGCTTGCATCTCGTGGGTAACGTCGAGGTAATTTTTCCCGGGATACGGCATAGTCATGTCCAATATGTTGGTCCATGACTGCGCCCAAATGTTACCTGGAAACATATTCGTATGATTGTACGGGCACTACTTATTAGTATTTCACATGATGTGTACGTATTATAGTATATGTATATACCCAGCACGTGGGACGGCAGCGGCGCGTGGCCGCTGATCTTTTCCGGCCCGTAGATATCGCGGAGCCTCTTTCTAATGTACGCGTGGAGCTCCTCGTAGAGCGGCTTGATCTCAGCCCAGACCTCGTCGATTTCTTGCTCAAAGTCGAAAGTTTCGTACGGGAACTGCCAGTAATCGGCGGCATCCGTGAAATCTGTGCGTCGGACGCGAAAAAGGGAAAAAATCGTTGGATAAATAAATACACCGCGACCGAGCTCCGATCGATATATATCTCACTTACTGTTGAGTCGCGCGGCTTCGTTGTTGAGATCGACCAACTGCTGGTACAGCTCCTTTATCTGCGAGCCGCTCCGGCGCCTCCACTCTGTCCACACCCACTGCAGCTCGTCCCAGTCCTTGCTACGGGCCATTATCTGCTGTATTTCTACGAATAATAATATACAAAGCCATCACATCTTATCAGTATGAATGATCTTTTGCGCGCAACTATATCGGTATAATGTATATGTATTGAATGCGTATGCATATATTTTACCTGGAAACAGGCGCAGGCCGCATCTAAGGGGCTCCTTGTAGGCGCATATCGTCGCGCTGTTGTATATGGACAGCATGTCGTTGATGACGCGATTGTACTGAAAATAAAAAAAAAAATAAAAAAAGTACGTGTAGTTTTGAGGGGGTCATTGGCAATGTGGGGCAAGTGGATTTAATCACCAACCCTGTCGAGCTGGTCGGGCGGTAGCGCAGCTGGACCGACGGCCGAGAGGTACCTGAGCCGTCGCCTCAGTGTAGCGTCCCTGACGGAGTTTGGGTCGATTTGGCTGACCTGCAGCCACGCCTGGAACTGGAAGTCCGCGTAGAGCCTCTGGGCTTGTAGCTGCGGAGACCAAACGATAATAAAAACAATGTAACTAGGCTCTATCGCGGGGAAAAGCGTTGTGCGTGCTAAGCAACGATATTATAATTTTTTTTTTGTTTTTTTTTTGTTTTTTTTTTTTTTTTTTTTTTCTTTCAGGGCACCTCGCACTCGTAGCGTTTCCGGAAGATTAGGTAATATCTGTATAGAGTTCAGAGTGTAACGTTTTAACGTTTTCCTTTTCTTTTCCTTATGCGAAAATCGTCGCTGCGTATGAGGTGCACGGCTTTAACGGTTTCGTCATAACTGTTGGCGATAACAGCTATTGTCTCGCAACCTGGTGTCGATGACTCGTTGGTTTGTTACATTTTTTAAAAGTAATCCATACACAGTGCAAAAAAAAGATTGGCTCGTCCGAGAGCAACGGGATATTGAATATTGAAAATAAGACAATTTAGAACTTTCATAAACTAAATTGGCTTTTTTTATAATATAAATGACGGATTTTTTTAAAATTATTTCTCTAATCATACCGATATCGTTTGAAAAAAAATCCAGTTTGCCATAAAAGACATTTATCAAACATCAATTTTCAGACAAATATTTTTTTAACCCCATCGTACGTAATTCAACTAATCCATCGACAGGTGGCCTAAAGAAATCACGAGCAACCGAGACCAATGAATATTTTCTAGTTGTTTGTGATGATTATATCTACCACTAGTAGTTGACCGGAAGATCGGTCCTTTTTTTTCTTCAATTTTCAATAAACTGCAGCTAGCAGATTGGCAAAATTGGTTTGATTACTTTGAAGTTATTAGAAATCAGGTCAATCGAGCCCGTAGCGAAGAGAAAAAAAGGTAAAAATTAAAAAGATAATCAAACGAAGGAGAAACGTATTCTCTGGAAAATGGCTTTCTAAAAGATAATTCGCTCCCCGGCAGGAAAAAAAGAGAGGGATAGAAAAAAAAAACGAGAAGGAGGAAGAGGGGAGTACTGACCGTCCGTGCCAATACATGTACACCCACGCCAGGTGGGTTACTCAACAGCCGTCGCGGCGATGAGACAATGGCAGCGCCTGAGAACGTTTCCCGCGACGCGAAAGACTCGTCTCCCGCGCCGTGTCAGGGAAACTCGCGGTCGCGTGCTGGAATCACCCGCGCATTTGAGGGAACCCGACTCGACGAGGCAGCAGGAGAGCGGGTCGAGGACTCGCCGAGATGCTTTCATTTTTTTCTTTCCTTTTACCATTTTCCCGATGCCCCCCCTCTCCCACCTATTCTGGTTTTTCGCACAATTAAAACCGCGCGCCGGACGCCTCGATGAAAAAAAAAAAGCCAAACGACACTCTGCTGCTGCGTATACGTTTACACTATACCATGGAGAAAAATTAATTAATGATTTGCGCTGCGGGTGTGTGCTTTGGCCCCCAAGGACAAAAGCACACAGGGTATCAAAAGTTGAGCTTGTCACGTTACTTTACGTGTTTTCTCGAGACTTTGAAATTGGCCAAATCACCGTGGATTAAACCAAATGACTTTTTAAAGTGTAATAGCATTTATTTTTCGTCACTTCACGATTTCTATCTAGACCGAAATAATAAAACCCAAGGGTTCCAAGGGGAGGCACGTAAAAACTTAACTTTTAACCGCAAAAGGAAACGATCGTATATCGTAAAGTCTCAAACTCTCTGAGACTCGACGAAAAAAAAAAAAAAAAAACAAATAAAATAAACTAACCGCTTGTAGTTGGGTGACCTCGTTGACGTTGGTCTCGTAGTTCCATTGGGCGGCGACGTTGTCGCTGCACCTCTGCGCCCCGACAAAGTCCAGCCCAGCCAGGAGATTCGCCAGGTCCACCGGAGGTGGTCGCCTGTCCGGATGACCCTCGTACCCATCGTCCCTCGGTGGTTGCGTGGGTCTCCTGTTCTCGAACCGGTCGTACCTGTCGTCCTGGGGATTACCGCCGTACCTCCGCCCCTCATCCCTGTCGTAGCCGTTGTCCTGCGGCAGCCGCCTACCGTCGTCCGGCTCGTACCTGTCCTCGACTCGCGTCAGCGGTGGCAGTCTCCTGCCGTCGTTTGGATCGTACCTGTCCTCGCGCAGGGGCGGCAGGTCCAGCTGGCCGGACGCATGGCTCACCACGAGGAGCAACAGGCTCACGACAACCTGCAAATCGTTGCCAACCGATTCTTAACACCCTCCTATCTCCTGTCGGGGGGGGGGGGTGCGTTATTTTTATTTTTTTTGTTTTTTCGCCGAAACTTTTGGGGTGACAGAGCCTATACACGAAAAATTTCGATCGCTCACTTGATCGAGCGATAGGGAGAAATTGACGCGTTATTTCCCGGCTCGACGCAATCGAATTTCCGACAACTCACCCCCGTACGGAAACGCGACACGAAAAGTACACGGGTGCCCGATGGGCGTTGTGATACGAAAGTTCGTTGGCATAGAGTTGAAAGGAAATAAAATACATGTGTACAGGGTGACATTGTGGTGGAGCACTCCTCCACCCCCCCCCACCGATAAGGGAAGGCCAAGGGATAAAAGCCGAAAGGGTGACTCGGTGAAAGCCAACGCGTCCATCATTCCTCTCGTGGATTTTTCCTCCATACTTATTCCGGTCTCCAGTGTAATATCCGCATAAAGTATTCAAAATTATCGACTTGGCTCGGAAAAAAGATTACGGGTAATGACGCAGTTCTAATCTGTTACCGTATAACTTAAAAATCAATATAAATCTCACTATGTGCGTCGAGGGCAACGGTGATGCAAGAGCTTGTTGAAAAAAAAAAAAAAAAAAAAAAAAACAGAAGAAGAAAATAACCGAAGATGCCTGCGCNCTTGCACACTCTGCACTGTATATACCCGCTTGGCGTATCTGTTGTACGCGAGAGCAGTATACAACGTATCGGAGTAATACCAGTGTGCACTTTCAGATTTCGTGATACGATCATTACGGAAAAAAAAAAAAAAAAAAAAAAAAACAGAAGAAGAAAAGCAGTAAAAAGGTAAACAAGCTCTTTGCATTTAAATGAAACATTAGCAAATAGTGGGTATATGGGTACAGAGGAGCATCATCCTATGGAGCTACGCGCGGAAACGTGACGAATTCATCGTCCCCAAGATAATGCCACGGTTTTTCCGAAGCAATAACTCGTGGATAATGATTTCGTGCGTTTTGAGCCTTGTACTGCTGATGGCTGTACAACTTGAAAAAGTATTGGGGGGGGGGGGGAAAGACAAGGAGACTTATAACGAGTCGTACAGCGGTGCAATCGCCTCCATGTATATACATACAGACGTATCAAAGAAAACACACAAATTGCGTGCAGAGAAGTAATGCGTGTCCTTTATATTTTTTATTATGCACTTTTTTGTTGCAAGTAACATTGGAGGAGTATATGTATGTACATGGCCTGCAGGCATATAATAAGCTGTGCCCACATGTATAACGACCGTCGTCACGTGAAATCTAGTGAAGCGAGAGTGCACGAGAGAGTGAGGCAGTAGGTACTAGCTTAACGCACCAGCGACTTTCCGTGTACGACAAGATGCATTATCCTGGACGACGGCTCGCGAGTGGGTATATCCACGTACGCTAGTTTTTCTGTATGTATATATAGATGATAGTGCACGCCTATAGACTGTTTTTCGCGTCCTTTACACTCTACATCCTCGTCGCCACAGATCCGCGCCAACAAGTTGCGCGAGGTCGCGACAAGTTACGTATTCCATGGGTTTTCCAATGCAACACTCTATATACTTTTGCTCTGCTTTGTCCCTCCCCCTTCTTCTTCGTCTGCATTAGTACAGGAGAGTCCGAGAATTCCTTTCTCAGTACTCATAATAATTTTCGCGTGATGTAACTGGTGATCGGGGGGGCGTTTGTCGTACATTTTAATGATTTATATAGTTTTCGGTGGCTATATGTACATGGGTAAACAATTACATTCGTCCCCGTGTCTCTCCGATCGGCAACTTACCAGGTGCACCCTCCGGCGATCGGCGGTGGCCGCGAAAACTGGCCCGCGCACCACCTCCATTCGAGGTGTCTTCCTTGGGACCCGCACCGGAATTCCGGAAGCTCCCCGTTGGCGCACTCGATCCCTCGTCGGGGGATTACGGTAATTCAAACTCCCGCGCACTCCGAACCCAGTGAGGTTTGACTAAAAAGTACTTTTCGAAAAAAAGGTCAATCGGAGACAAGAAGGGGGTAAAAAAAAAGGAGCCCTGGAACTTGCACCACGCGCACCGCGCGATCAACGAGTGTCGCGACGAGGTGTACGCACAGTACAAAGGTGTGGACGAGCCGATCGGCTGTTCGCTCCTACGTACAGAGTTGTAAACTAAAAGCTTGGTGGGCCCGCGCGTATACATTTATCCCTACGCCTCGGGAGAGACGAGCGACACGCGGGAGGTCATCCGCACACGCACGCCGCGAACGGGGGAGTGGGAGATTGGCGCAGAGTACACCTGTTGTCATCGCGTACGTATGTACAACGTACACATATAACCCGACAACAACTTGTTACCACCACCGAACGTCTTTTCTCCCCCCCCCCTCCCAACGGAAGCTCGCGCGAGGGGAGCCAAAGCTCGGGCTTTTTCTTGTTGTTCCATGCTTTTAGGGGACGATTGTACGTTCAAGCCCCACTTGGTTGCCAAAATCGATACCAAAACGGTACGTGTATACCTGAAAGGGTTGCCTATATGATGTACGCGGTACAACGTTGATTCATACGTGTCGAAGGGACGAACGACGTACGATTGAATTTGGGTCAGGAGCGACAGGAAAACATCACCGAAAGAAACATATTGTTGGGCAATAGTGGACAAATTTTTTTTTTTTTTTTTTGGTAAAATTTGATTAAACGGGCGCACATCGATGATATCAAGTCAGTCGATCACACCTGTCATTTTATGAAAATAATCATACGTTATATACCATCGCATGTTATAATCACCAGCTATCGAGGCCTAAATTGCCGTTCACGTCATTCTCGCGAGTGCTCATTTTTCATACAAATTAAATCTCCAATTGAGGAGACGATGGCCGATGCATTGGATTATCTGCATAATTCATCCCATCCAAACCGAGATTTAATTGATGTTTCCCTTTTTTTTTTTTTTTTTTTTCACACCGTGCATCGTCTTGACTATACCAAATGTCTCAACAATTTCACTGCTGATTTGTAAATCATACGGTGATGCTAAGAAAACTTTTCGAAAGTGTTAATAGCCTAAAAGGGTGGTCTAATACGAGTCTCACCAAACCCACGGCACGCGACTCGTACGATTTTCTCGCTGGATTTCACGCAGATTCCCAGCGAGGCGATAAAAAACAAGAGAATTTCGTTCCCACCGGTGGGCCTAGTCCAAGGTCCCGCCGCGCCACGAAACTGCGGAAGAAAAGTCGGAATTTCACGTACAAACGATACGGATGAAGAAAAGAAAAAAAAAGTGGAAGCCGAAGCCTTACGCTCGAGTTTCGGAAGCAGGAAATCAAAGAGTCTGTAATATAATGTGGAGCAAAGGTGGAAGAAGAAAAAAAAAAAAAAAGAAACCTAACACACACAAGAAGAGCGAGTGAGGCCGTAAGGTGGCCTCCGCTCCTATAGCGAGTTCCCACGTTACGCGGGGAGGAGCAACCGTGTGCTGTAAATTACCATTGTGATCCTTACCGATTTCACGACGCAAAACAAAGCAACCTTCGCTCCCCGACTCGAGAAAACTCGGGATTTTTTTTTCGCCAATCTGACTAATTTTTTTGTCCCACCGGTCGTTTGATTCTTCTTTTGATCGTTGCTATATCATCAGGTACATACCCACACACTTCAGTGATCAATCTATGCGTGACTAATCCCCGAAAAAAAAAAAAAAAAACACGTGGCGATACAATAACAAAAACGACGGCAGAGTTTAATTGTACCGCGGTGACGTGATCACCTGCACTATTTTATAATCAATCTTGAGAACGGGTATACGAGTCGCTCGGGGTCCCAAATGTACGTTCACACACGCAAGCCGGGATTTTTGACCGTCAGAGTAATAACATTGGGAAAAATCCTCAAACACACTAACAATGGAGACAAGGTAATGCGTACACACGATCGAGCTCGTCCGATTGCGAGATTACGGATTGTTTTGCCGGATCGTCCAAAAGTTGACATCACACGTATATATACATTATATATACCCACTTGCTTATTAAACTGGGCCAGCGCCCTTGTGCGCTTGTCACACGTGCCCTCTTCCTCTCGGCCGTGACGTAAATCCCGCGGGTTAACGCGCCGTATTTTGCATCGCGTACTTCTAAAAATCCACTTACGCGCTTGTACACATGTAGGTAAAAGCACTTGCGAAAACTCGTTTTGGCTCCACGTACATCCATGGGAAACAGGGATCGGCCCGACCTTGACTCGCTGAAACACATTTTAACCATTTCAATGTCTCAGCAACTTGTTCGGGCGTACTCGCGACTACCCTTTTTTTTTTTTTTTGTGGCTCGAGTAAAACTAATTCCATCGACAAATAATGTTAGTCGTGGTTTCTTTGTTCGTAGAGGCGTGTAGCTGGTGCTCTTAAAGGGGCACAACCGGCGATAAAAGGCCATTTGCATATGAATGAAGCCTCTCGCTATTTTCGATCGTGATGCGCTTGGTTTTTTAGCGACCGTCATTATTATCGTTTCATTACCGAGCGGTTAAAATATATGTTGCGTTTAGTGCGTCTCGCTGCAATGGAATTTACGTGTATAAATAACGAGTTGTTTGCACGACAAAACGCGAAACGAACGAAGTAACATAAATAAATAAAAAAAACGAAAAATCATAAATAAATAAACGAAACGTCCAAAGAATACATGCCTTCGAGATTGATTATCAGTGCCGGTGATGAGCGCGACGAGTGAAAAATTAAAAAAACACAAACAATGCGTGTATTTATTTTTAGTACGCGTACTCACTAGTTGGAAAAAAAAAAAAAAAAAATGTTGTTTTTGTCGTAAAACTTGCAAGAGGCAATAGAGAAAAAGAAATGGAGAGGAGGAGGAAGAGAAATGAGCCACGGTGCAAATTGCCGCGTCGCTGATTCACCGTTTAGCCGATCCTTATTTTTTATATATCTCCGTCCCCTGAATAATTGCACTCAATTGCAGCCATTAAGCATAAATGCACCTAAGCGTGTGTGCTCTCTATTCCAGAATCCAGCGTGCATACCTATGCACCTCGATTTAATTAGCCGGTTCACACGAAGCACATGGATATATAATACACCCACGAGCGCGTCTCGACGGCAAATCGTTTTATTGGCGCTAACTGTGATGTAAAGGCGCGAGCGATTCTCGTCACTGTACTCGGTGCACTGCATGCGAATATCCAAAGCATAGTTTTGGCAGATGAAAAAAAAAAAAAAAAAAAAAAAAAAAATGCATACTTCAAACAAAGATTTGCAATTTTTCGAATAAAACAGCTGCTTTGATTTAAATAAGATGAAAAAAAAAAAAAAAAAAAAAAAGAACTTTCAACCCTGCGTGTATGCCAGCACGTACGTCGTGATGTTGATTAATAATACCCCTTTTTTTTTTCTCTCTTTGTCAGCTATAATGCGTGTGTACCATTGCGAAAATCAAACGAGAAATGGGGACGACGCTGCACCACCGTGATGAACTCGACGATTGACACCGGCTCGGCCCATTGTTTGTCGCGAGTATTCTTTTCACCCCGTGCGAGTTGTGCCACTGTCCTTTTATTCTCGAATTCCGTGGATTTTGGAAACTTCAATTACCTATTTGGTATACCACACGTATTGTTTTTTTACCCAACGCGTGCTCGCGAGATCGGCTCATCTGCATGCCCAATTCTCGGACTTTCGTTTGAATTAGAGAGGCAATCTCGAGGAACCATCCGATGAGAGAAAGAGAGTCCGATGTACTTATGTTATACACACGCTTTCCCCCGAGAGGTAGCCGGAATTGTTTTTCTTACCACCAAGTCTCGGAGGAGCGTCTTGAATTCTAATTTTGTTTTGTTTCGCGTTTTGAAAAAATACCATGCAATATACGACAATGATCGCGTGACGCGGCCCGGGATTATTCATTTTCGCATGACTATGTGATTTCCGGTCGCCCCACAACATATTCACCACATATATACGGTTGAAAAGACAAGTGTACGTTATTGTTGTTCCTTTTTTTTTTTTTTTTTCTATATGTAGATTAATCGTTGGGTGAGCGAGATTTTTCCCTTTGATTCTCTTTTTTTTTGTTCGCGTTTGACTCATTTTCATCACAGCACGTGCGCCGAGACGATTTCTCTCCCGATCGTTCGGACTTACAATCAACTACCAACTAGATGTACGAGCTGGAGTATATTATGTATAGACAAATCATGAAAAAAAAAATAGAGTATTCGTCCCGGAAACAGGGAAAGAGTAAGGAGCCACACGCTTGGAAGCAAGGCTCGCGTGAGGCGGCCTCCCTCGCCTCGGCCACGAGAGTCGCATTCCGCGCGAGATGTGTCGCGCAGGTAAATACATAAGAAAAAAAAAAAAAAAAAAAAAAAAAAAAAAAAAAAAAAAAAAAAAAAAAAANGAGTCTCACCAAACCCACGGCACGCGACTCGTACGATTTTCTCGCTGGATTTCACGCAGATTCCCAGCGAGGCGATAAAAAACAAGAGAATTTCGTTCCCACCGGTGGGCCTAGTCCAAGGTCCCGCCGCGCCACGAAACTGCGGAAGAAAAGTCGGAATTTCACGTACAAACGATACGGATGAAGAAAAGAAAAAAAAAGTGGAAGCCGAAGCCTTACGCTCGAGTTTCGGAAGCAGGAAATCAAAGAGTCTGTAATATAATGTGGAGCAAAGGTGGAAGAAGAAAAAAAAAAAAAAAAAAATGTGGAAACGCCGAAACGCATGCTCGTCGCCGCCGAAGCTATTGTTCCGAAAGCCGATGCGCCGAGGGTCGACTGTATACGGAGGTTTTGTATCTTGCACTTGTGACTGGCTCTTAGAGTTGCTGGATCAGTTGAATTTTGGGGTGGAGGTTTTTTTTTTTTATACATGTTATCGCCTTGGGACGATCTTTATTTTAAATTTTTGAGATGAAAAAAAAATTTCCAAACTAAATCAAATAGAAACCTAAGTGGATTGAGGGGCTCACACTTGTGATGGAGAAACAGTTGACCTCACCTAAAAACATTATACTTCACCTATCGATAGAAACTACAATTTTCTACAGGATCAGTAAAGTTGATTTTTGGTTTAACAATATACAACTCGAAAAAAAGTGATCCGTGATAAAACTAGTTGCTCGAGTATCCTCAGTTGTAAAAAACACGGGTACTCCGTTGTAACGAGGCACCACTGGAAAGAAAGTGAAAAAGTAGGCCGCACTTTAATGAGTAAAAGGAAAAAAAGGCTGCAAGTGCCGAAGAAATGAA